AAAACCAGATAATGGCTCTACTGACTCACTTTAGGGTGAAGGTTTGCTATCACATTTGGTGAAGGAAGGATGGTTCTCTTAGTGAACCCAAAGCTGGGCCAAAGGTGCCACTTTTGAATTCCATGGAGACCCTCCCGGAGTATAGCATCCTATTTACCTCTGGCCCCCAAGGCTCTGCAGTCCTGCACCATGAGCAGGCACCAGGTATGAGCAGGTAGAGGGCTGTAGCAGTCCTCCAAGCTTCTGTCTACAACCAAAGATGGGCAAAAGCAGTGTTTGCTCCTCCATAAACAAGTACTCAAGACAGTGACACTTTTTGATGACCTGGGGTATGACAGTTACACCTTGATTTTTAAAAATAAATCACAGTCACCTTTGTTCATCCTGCAGTGTGCCAGTCTAATAGCTTCTTGGTGGGGATTTTAAACCAAGCCTTTATTTTCAGTGTGTGGGGGATTTTAAAAAAAAAAAAGAATAAAGGCATGGAATATAGCTCAGCAGCACAGCACCTGCCTGGTAGGCACAAGATCCTGAGTTTACTTTCTGGCAACAAAGAGGGGGGAAAAAAGAGGATGTTTTCAAATTGTAAATGTCGGGCCTTCTGATGTAATCTCAGGATACAGTTTGCAGCCCATGACCAAAAAGCGAACTGAGAAGTGTGACTTAACCATGGAGCTGAATAAACCAATTCTTGATTCTGAGGTGAAAAGAAAGAAAAGAAACTAAAGGCCAGAAATTTCAAGTAAATTGTCTAAGGGCTCTCAGCTCACAAAGGACCCACCTCTAGTTACCTCTGAATCCTGTAGTCTCCAGCTAATGCAATCCAGTGGCATTTATTGAGTTGGGGATGGAAAATGACGCGGAAGCATATTTCACCTTTAAATATGTTCTTCTCAGAGTGCCTTTAAGCGGAGAGTGTTTGGTGTTAATTTCTAGGCCAGGTCAGCTTTCATCTCTCCCTTTTCTTACTGTTTAAACCAGGGGCCTCTCTGTTCCTTCCAAAAGTGGAACACATCTGGGCTTCAGTCCAGGGGAAGTTTGGTGGTTTCCCATGCCCTTTTCCAGGATGACACAGTGACATGGCCTTTTGGGAAACAGGACTGGCCTTTCCCCTCGCCACAGGGGGATGGGACAAGTCTCCAGCCGACGAGTTGCAGGTTAAAACCTGGAAATGTTATTGAGTTCACAGTATCGATACCCTTGTGCTGTGGCCCTCGATGACCATGTCCTGACCTCTGAGCCCTTCTACAAGGTGTCCACGTGCCTGTCACAGGTTAATTCTTGTCCTCAGTGACATGAAGTCGATGACATCTGACAGAGGCTACCCACAGTATCCGACTGAACTGTGTTAGTTTTTTGTGCTCTGTAATTACAACCAAGTTAATGGGTCAAAACAACATCCATTCATTATCTCTTAAGTTTCTGCTGCTTCTGTAGTTTCTCTCTGTAGGGTCTCATTAGGCTGCAGGGTTGGTGGCAGATGGGGCTGTCATCTCATCGGAAGCACAACTGAGGGAAGCTCCACTTCTAGGCTGCCTTGGGTTGTTGGCAGAACTGATTTCCTTGCAAGGATCAAATCCCCTGTTTTCTTGTAGCTCTTGGTCAAGGGGCTACCTAATAGTTGCTTATAATATAATCCTGTCCCAACATGACAACTTCCTTCTTCAAGCTTAAGAGGTGGAGTCTGGGGACACAATGCAACCACGAGAGTGACATCCCACCACCTTAGCCACAGGACCTGTCCCCACTCAAGAAGAGGGAATGCAGTGTGTGAACCTCAGGAATGGTGTCACATCTAGCACAGTAACCATGCTCTACCCCACCCAGTAAGCAAGTTTTGCAAGGGCCAGTGGCTTGGAGAGGGTTGTGTGTGACTGTGGTCCTCTGCAGAGCTCTTGCCCTCCTTGGCCACAGCTGCACTCTCACAGGAGTGCTCACCTCAGGCTTGGGCAGCTCACGTCTGTCCTGGGAAGGCTCGGGGTTCCTTGCCATTCCTCTCTTTCAGCGCATCCCAGAATCACCCCCCTTTCATGTCAAATTGTGGAGCTAATTCCTAAAGGAAGTGGGAAGACTGGTTAGTTGCTGATGCAGTCTCCCAATGTACATTGGATTTGCTTTTCCAAGAAATTGTAAGCTCAAATGGCATTTCTTCATGGTTCATCTAGAAAACGTACAATGCCTGTTGTTAATCCTTTGTCCTCCATTCTGCAGATATAACTGAGTTATTTATTTGGTGAAGTGAACCAGAATGAACTGCCTGCCTGCCTGCCTGCCTGCCTGCCTTCCTTCCTTGGTATAGGGTCTATTACACAGCTCAGACTTGTAGTGATCTTCCTGTTTTCAGCTTCCCCAGCATTGGGATTACAGGCATGTACCACTATGCCCCAGACTCAGTCACCAGCTCTGTGTACCCCAGGGGCGGGGCCAGTGCAGCATGTGGGACTGGGGATTGAATCCTGCTCCCTGTGCTTGCCAAAGCAGGCGCTTAGTCCACTGAGCTATCTTGCCAGCCCCCAGAGGTGCCTTTCTTTTTGTAGCACTTATTACAGAACCAAAGACAATAGTTATTAGCTTCTGACTTAAAATTACTCCTAGGAATCTGGCCCCTGGTTGCTTCCAGATTCATCTACTTTCATTTTATGCACATTTTATGGTAGTGTTGACTTCCTTTTTTTTTTTTTTTTTTTTTTTTCGAATGCCTTCAGGGCACTTTTGGCCAGCTGGAGAGGTGTGAGGTTCGAACTCCAGCAACCTGAGGCTGACAGCTTTGTGGAAGCAGCCACTTAAAGGCCTGAGCTA